GGGGGGGGGGGGCATGGTGGAGAGTGGCATGCGGAGACCCAGGCCTTAGCCTGCCAGGGCCCTTCTGACCCTGGCTACCACCTGCAGAAGACGCAGTTGTCTGCCCAACACCGAGCCAGCAATTCCGATATCAACATCAATAAAAGAATCAAAAGCTTAGGAAGGAGTGGAGGAAATTTATTTGCAGTGCGACCTGCCTTCTCTGCGCCGTCCTCTCTGCCCTTGAGTGAGTTAGGGACTGAGGAGGCCTCAAACTTCCATTGAACTTTTCTTTGGACTCAAACCATCTTTCTCAAGGGTCGGTTTGCTTTCCCCAGCTCTACTCCAAATCCCGGGCCGGACGTCGGAAACCTGCGCCAAACGCGGTCAGAACGCCTATGGGATCCCCGGTGTCTTAGAGCAACCTGGGAAAGAAGCTTCCTTTTCTCCTCCAGGGTCTGGGCTTAGGAGGTGAGAGGGCGGACGAAAGGACCCAGCCTCAACCCGGTGAAAAGGAGGAGGGAGACAGAGGAGCGGGCCCAGGCCCCAGTGATTAGCCACACACTTTAAAGGCAAAGAAGGGATTAAGTGCGACGTCTATTGTTCCAGTTGTTCGGGCACGTGTGACCTCAGAGTCCCCAAACAAAACGTCTGGGGAAATCCTTCCTGCGCCCTGATCAGATTGTCCAGGGACGGAGAACTGGGTGGCAGGCAGCTCGGGGTACAAAAAGCAGCGACAGAGCTAGAGCGGAGAGAATGAGGGAGGAAAAAGACTCTGGGAGCCAAGAATGCACACACACACACACACACACACACACACACACACACACACACACACACACACAGTGACACCCGACCCTGAAGCCCAGTGAGCAGGAAATGAAGCTCAGGGCGCAGGCGGGCCGCGGGAAGCCTGCTTGACGGAGTGGCAGCAGCGAGGTACCTGCGTCTGCGTGAGTCCCAAGGAGGCCGCGAGCTCCGCCCTCTCCGGCAGTGCTAGGTATTGAGTTTGCTGGAACCTCCGGTTCAAAGCCTGCAACTGCAAACTGGAATAAATCGTCCTGGGTTTGCGGATCTTTTTCCCCTTGCCATTGAAACGCACTTCACCGCCTTCCACCACCGTGCTCTTCTCCGAGTCCGCCCCTGGAGGGACAGCAGAAGCGGGAGCCGTTGTTAACGCTGGGGGCCACCTTTAGTGAGGAGAGTTGAGACAGAGAGAGGCTACCGAGGGGTGGTGGAGACAGGGCCGGGAGAGAACGCTCAAGAAACTGAAAGCCAAGGAAGGGTCCCCCAAAGTCCGAGGGCGCGTCCCGGGCCGCTGCAGGCGGGACGGGGCCGTTCCCAGGAGCGTAGCTCCTGCGTTTGCAGGGAAAGTTTGCTATTTTTGTAGGCGGTAGTTGAGGTTTAATTACCCTTAATTGCATACATTGTTTATAGTGCTACGCAATAAATAATTACCAAGACTAATACGTGCACATGTGGGGTTCTGTTTTCCAGCGGGGCATTGTGTGCTCGGCTCACCGAGCAGCCCAGAGGCCCAACCAGTGCCAGGAGACGCTCTTGGATTTATCCTTTCTGGATAGCTGCGAATTGGGTGGATTTTTTTTTTTTTTAATTATTTGCTCTGACAAGGATCCACAGATTTATACCCGAAACTTCAATTTCTCTTGAGCCCTACCCACCCCCACCCCACTTCTCTTTCCTCTCCTCTTCCCTGTCTCCCTCTCCCCTACCTTCCCTCCCCCCCTTTCTCTCTCTCTCTCTCCCCCTCTCCTCCCTGGAAAGCGCACGTACCTGGGTCCTCCAGGCGGCTCTGGGCGAGGCTGGCGCTGCCCGGGTAGGACTGCACCGAACTGATGTAGGGGCTGGACGCATGGCTGCTGACCGAGTTGACGTAGGGGTAGCCCAGCGGTCGCGAGAAGGACGAGGCCGAGCTGTAGGCGCCGTCGGGCTGCGAATGGCCCGCCGAGTGTAAACAGTGCATGGAGTAGTGCCCGTGAGACATGGGAGAAGGAGACATTTGCTGGTTGGGTGGCCCAAACTCCATAAACACCGCCTTGCCCGACACGGGGCTGTTGAGACTTTCTGGCATGGTGGTCATGGTCATCTCTTCTCGCGGGGTCTGGGTGTGGGACTTTCTCTCCTCTGCTTCCCTTTAGGGGGTCTCTATGTTTCTCACGACAGGAAGGAACCCAATTTAAGCGGAACAGGGGTTTTCACTTTCCATTCATAAGAAAATGGAGTTTGTCTCTTTGAAAAGTCTAAGCATGATGCTGCCGAGCTCCCCAAACTCGGTTCAAAGCTTTGACTCAGCCAAGGTCATAAATATTCATGAGCTGGCGGAGCTGATTGGTCCGCTGTCTTGCATAATCACCGGGGATTGGTCCGAGGCGCTCGGGCTCCGCTGGACTAGAGCCGGCAAGGGTGCCCGGCCTCGGGAGAGACGCGTCCACACTTCCCGGCCCGGGCTCCTCTGCAACAGAGCGCGCCGTACGAGATGCACAATGGGCTGCGCCGTCCGCGCCGGGACCTTTGCTGCCCGCGGATCTGCAGTCTACCGCCTCCCTCACGCGCTTTCCTCCCCAGAAACCAACCAGCGGTTCCACGCCGCTGCCCTCGCAATACCCTCCCCGCCCTACGCCCTCCCCCGACGCCGGGGACCCGGGACCGCTTCCCGTCACTGCCACTCAGTCCGGCTCTGAGATAGGGCGGCTCTGGAGCCTGGCTGCGGCCTCAGAAAGCGGAGTTACGCACTGGGTGGCATCCGAGGCGGAAAACGGCGATCCTCTCGAGCTTATTGTGCCTAGCGCAGCACCCTCCTGGCCTCGCCTCCCTGGCCCGGGTCCGCTCCGCCACATCCCTGGGGTCTGAGTTTGGGGCCCTCCGGGCGAACTCACTCACTCGGCCGCCGCGCCGCCGCCGCTCCCTGGGGCCCGCTCGCATTGCTCCAGGCCCAGCTGGCCACTCCAGCTCGAGGCTGCACGGGTCTGATTAAAGCAGTGCGCGTGGAGAACCAGGAACCCGCGCTTCTCCTCCCAGGAAAGGCGGCCGCACCGCCCCCTCCCCTTACGCACACCCTCTTTCCCTCCCAATCTTCCTCCGCCTCCCCCTCCCCTCTCCACTCCCTCTTCTTGGTGCGCCCCGGGCTCACTCGCCCCGAGGGCGCGGCGCAGCGTGGAGCCGAGGGACCGGCGGGCTGCGTTCTGCTCAGCCGCAGACACCAGGTGGTCATTTTCCGGCATCCTGGGGTCTGGCGAGAGTACCCGGGGTTCAGGAGTCCCTGGGGAACACCGCAAACCGCAGCAAAACCAGGCCTGGGGTAGGCGCGTATATCTGTGTGCAGATACGTCTCTCATCGCCGCCCAGGATCTTCCTCACCTCCAGTGGCCAAAGCTGGCGCCACCGGGCCAGGGGAGCAGGGTTGGTGGAGGCAAGAGCAGCCAGGGTGCTTTAGGTCTTCTGGATTGCTAGGTACAGAAAAGCTCATCAAAGTACCCCCCCCCGCCACCCCCTGCGCGCGTGGCTGACACCACGCTGGCTGCTAGGCGATGCCGGTTCCCCATCCCGCCAGCTCCACGGTGAATCCCAAATTACTTTGTTAGGTAATTAGAAAGTGTTGATAATTATTTCTTTCATAATTTAGCGGTGTGACGGGAACAGGGAAATGATCTTGTGAAAGTTCACACGTGCAGATGTATTAGTTACTGATTCATTTGATTAAATGGTAGTCTCAAGTGCTCAGATCCGCAGCTGAAGGCGCCCCATTAGCATAACACTGATGTTTAATTTTCATACGCATAATTAGCCATATATTTAACACTAATAGCAACATGCAGCCTTTCAGCGTTAAACAGCCCGGAATTTGATCTGGCCTGAGCTGAACCTTCGCCGCCGCACCTTCCCCTGTCTGGAGTGTGTAGTGATCATAGGACAAACCTCTGTAATCAAGCACATTTTGGCAGAGGGAACACCAATAAAAATGAACATTCAAAACAAATTACATCGGTGCTGTCGTTACAGATATTAGTAGAGGGGGTTCCTCTCTTTTTTAACTTCTGTAGCGGCAGCTGCTGCCTGTGGATTTCCTCTCCTTTGGTTTAAGGGCACGATGATGGGGGGCAGAATTATTTCAGGCAGTGTGGTTGGAGCAAAAAGAAAAACAAAAGAAAAAAACCCCCAAGTCCTCCAAACCAATAACCGGTTTGCCCACGTTAAAAAAAAAAAACATTATATATATATATATATACATATATATATAATTTTTTTTTCTTAATCACCCAACCACACGGTGAGGCTTTGTAGAAACAACCAGCTAATGACTCCGCCACCATACAACTCCCGGAGCCGCTCGGCTCGTCCTGATTTCCGTGGCGTACTTGTGGTTTTAATTGCTCCTTCCTAGCGCCTGTTTTGGGGCGTGGAGTGCAATGCGGTGCACCCAGCACAGCCGCTCGGATGCCGCTCCGGCCCCGGCTCTCTCGCACGCGCCTTGTAGGCCCTGCCCACGTAAGTGATCGCCGCGGTGGGCACGGGGTTGGGGTCGGGAGCGGGGAAAGCGGACTGGTGACTCCCGGAGCTCAGCGCAAGGCGTGAGGAAACCCGACGGCCGGGCCGCCCAGGGCCAGTTTATTCCAGAGAATTGGAGGGTGGGGGGAGGGGAGAAAAGATGGCCACACGTCCGACACTCTCCAGGGTGTTCGGTCCTCCACATGTGGAGGAGGACCGAAGACTTTCTTGGTGCAGGGAACCTGGCTGGCTCCTGGGAACAAGGGTCCGGCACGCGCCCCCCTGGAATAGGATTCAGAGCTTTGCTTAATTTAGAAGTGAATTGTGTGTGGGCAAAGGAGTGTCCATACTGAGGAATTATTTCTTAGCCCAGAGAAGCAGGTCTGGGCAGGGGCGCTGATCGGTGGCTCTCGGGCGCGCGCCGAGCTGCCCGGTCTTAGCTAGTTTCTCACTGTGGGATCTTGTCTCTACTCTGTGAGCTCCAGTTGATCCCTTCCACCCCCTACCGCTAAGATAACATCTGTTCTGAAGTGCCGATTTGCTTAGATCTTTGCCTGTCCCAACTCTGAGAGGAAACAAAACTCTCCCATTCGTCCCGAATGTCCCGGATTCCGAGGAGAACCTCTTGGAGTCACTTCAGGACCGGACGGCCCTGGTGGTGTTAGCCGTAGCCACATTTGGCTGGAATCCTGCGGCTGCGGGTGAAGTTTGGGGCCAGTTCAGTTGGCAGAGGGACAGGGAGGCGTGAACGAGGTACTTTTAAATGTACCTCCTAATCTAGTTTCAAAGCACGTTAAACGGAGTTCTCCCTAATTCAAGTTTGTTTCCTCGAGAGCTGCTGATATTAGCAGTATTGGTTACACACACACACACCCCTACACACAACTCTAGGTTAGTCGCTTTAATAAATGGGATTATAAACCTGTCCCATAAATTCCTCCACCTCGAAATAATTACTGCACAAGCAGCATGTTATCCCGGTGGTTGGTAAAATCCTGTGATCCTAATAAAACTATCCTTGGGGAACACTGGAGTAAACTGATCCGCTGATAAGATACCGCGCTAATGGTTGCAATCGGATTGCTCTAGGAGAGAAGTGAAGTCACTCTCTGGTAAACCTTTCTCAAAGCCAGCTGGGTCCTGTTCCTCTCTAGGGAATCCATTTGTTCCGGGGCAGTAGCCTCAGTCTCTGGGCCTCTGCTTGGCCAACTCCTGAACACATCAGAAGTTTTTCTACAGACCTTGTAAATCCTCAGTGCTTCTCTCATCTTTTCCAGCTCTCAGACTCATTAGAATAGGAATAACCTCTGTTCAAAAATCTACATCCCTGGACGCAGAGAAACAGCTGGGGGGCTGGGGAACAACGGAGAGAATACCAAATTTAGGGAAAAGCAGGAACTCACTTTGCCAAGGCTGCTCATTGTCCTCAGTTTCCCATCTTTTTTCCCACCACTCTAAGTGTCACAAAGACAAGCTGGATCTGCATCCTGGCCACTGATGCCACCTGTCGTGGCAACTACAGATGCCCACATTTCCTTGGAGTCCCTAGAGCCCTAGCTATATTCAGAGAATGGCTTCCTTGGGGTCCCTAGAGCCCTAGCTATATTCAGAGAATGGCAACTCTGCAAAACCCGCTTCAGTAGAAACAAGAGTTATCACACTGACCGCCTGAATACCCTCACTGAACTTTTTCCTAAAACCATAACCAGAGGAGGATGGCTTCCTTCGTGGACAGCTAGAGGCCAAGTCCCTCCCCACCCTCGAGCCCAGGTGTGAACAGGTCCTGGAGAGCAAGGGCAAGGAAAGGGAGGGTGCTTTGGGCAAGAATGGGCATTGAGAGACTTGCTCTAGAAGCGGCTTGGAGTTGCTGGCCCGCCGAACCCAGGTTAAACCCACCAGCTCCAGTCCAGGTTAACAAGGCCCTTGCTCTCAAAAGTGCTCGTATCCCCTCTAGCTGGGGTCCTCTGGGACTCCAGAATATTTGACCTTCACGGCCCCAGCAGCGCACAAGCGCGGGTCTGAAGACGGCCAGTCTGGGGAGGGGTCAATTTAGGGACTAGACAGCTCCCCACTAGCCCGCTAGACTCTGTTCGCATCTGGGCGAGTGGGGCCGAAGCTCAAATTCCTAGTGCGACGAAGGGTCTAGCGTGCGTGCGTGCACGCGTGTGTGTGTGTGGGAGTGGGTGGGGGTCGGGGAGGAGGGTCTCAAATATAACCTCTCGAATGGCGGTAGAGGGCTGGATGCGGGCGGATGAGGAAGAGCCGCAGGGGACGGGAAAGTCGCGTTTCTAGATTGATAAAACCCTGCAGAAGGGCCAGGCCCAGGGTCCACAGCCAAGGAAATGTTTGTCATCAATGCCTTCGTTCATGGGCTACTCTTTTCATCGCAAAGCCGCGATGAAGGGGAAAGAAACGTAAGGGTTAGGGGTGAGGGCAGGTGCTGGCCTCTGAGAGCGCCCTCAGGGCCGGCCAATGTGGGATCCACAAGGGGAAAAAACAGATTTTGAAAAAATTTCCCAGCTAAAAGTTTTGGATTTTCTTTTTGTCCGTGCTTAAAAAGTTCAGAGGGTCAAAAATCAACCCCAAACCTTCGCTTCCTTGCCACTGTCAGACACAAGGAACGCAGACACAACGGGTTTCAGTGGCTTTTTACTCGGGCAGAGTCAGGACAAGAGAAAGAGAAAACCTCGCTTCTCCTGGAATCCCTCATCTCCCAAAGGAGGGCGTCCCCATTCCCCTCCAGATGCGCTTCTCGCGCTGGGAAGCCGAGCCCGGGGCCAGGATCCGTCTTCCCGAAGTCGCGCGGCCCCGGCAGAGTTTCCAGTCTGAGTCCCCACCCGCCCCTAATCCCCGCCGCGTTTTTCCAAGACGCTATTAGGTAGGTGGGTTAACGCGCGACCTGCCGTTCCCGTTTCTTCTAAAAGTCCGCCGGCTGGATTTCAGCCTTCGTGGGGCAGTTTGGTGAGGACCTCCGCGCCCCGCGACGTGATGAGAACTGTGTGTTCGAACTGGGCCGACCTGAAACACACACCGCAGCGCTCAGGACGCGCTCAAGCCCGCGGGGCCGCGAGCACTAGCCGCCCGCGCCGTCGGACCGATCTCCCCTACCCGTGCAACCTAGAAGCAACAAGGCACAAACACCTTTGATT